CTCTCTCTCTCTCTAAAAAACACACACACACAGAAAACCAACCAAACACGTGAAGTCATTGCCTTGTCGAAGTTAAATAGATAATACTAGCGAAATGGCAACACGGGGATCGCATCGCGGTGTCGAACTTGTTCCAGTACGTCTTCCAGCCGCAGTTTCAAGGTACGATCACCTGTGGAAAACCATTGGACCATGTCCGCAGCACAGTAATCCGCGTGATGTATTCGTACCCACTCCAAACGCTGCTCCCCATCTTCAATAAATCCGGCCTTTATGAAGCTTGGAAGGAGATCCGGCAGGACGAGCACCGCCTTGCCAAACTTCGCCCCTACTTGCTGCTGGAAACTTTGTGCATCTACCGAGAGTTGCATAATGAAGACATCGGAAAGCTTCTTCTTGGCCAATTTGGCGTATTCTCGCAGCAACGTCGTCTGGACGGCAAAAACAAAACGCTTCATAAAAAGTTGCTCCATCTGCGGCGTCGGCATCGCGTGACGCTTCGCGTTGAGCAATCCCATGTCCTCCACAAGCAGCCTCACATACGCGCTCGCCTGCACCAGTTTCTCGTTCGCGCGCAGTTTGCTGATGCTCTGCGTGACGTTCTCCATGGGAAAAATGGCATGACACAAGCGGTGCAGGCCCACATGCAACAGCTCCTCACTGGCGGCCCTCATGTCACCGCAGCGGCGCATGCGCTGCTCCACCGTTGCCGGCGGCAGCAGTGGGGCGACGGAGCGCAGCGTCGCCTCCAGGACATAAACGAGCGTCACACACGACTGCCCCGCCACCGCCCGGTTGACCAGGGCGAATTGATGCGCCTCGCTTGCAAGGATGCCCCGAACGCGGCCCCATACACGTGGAGGAAAAGATCCCTGCAGCTCATCCTCCGCCGCGAATGGAGACGGGGCGGTGGCGGCAACGGCGGCGGCTGTAGGCTGCCGCGCCGCTCTCTCCGCCGCCGCACGCATTTCAATAAGTGTCGCCTGCGTCAACTCGCTCAAATCCACCTGGTTCTCTAGACGCACCGCACGGGAGATGGAAACAAAATTGTCGGCCACCGTGTAGACGTATAAGCTAACGAGATCCTCTGCCCAGCCAAGTGTCTCCGCCGCCAGCGGTGGAAAACGTGCCACAATTCTCGCCACGTACTCCAGCAAGGTGTTGGCAACGGCAACGGCGGAGGCGGTTAACATGGACGGCGTCCCCTGTGCCCCGCGGCGGGCAAGATCCTCGCAAAACGACTCCGTTTGCACCATACGCGAGGTATCCTGCAGCGTCAGCAGGTGTGCGGCGTAGAAGGGGTTCTCGTGACTGCCGGGGGCCTCAATGGAGGCCTCCGCGAGATAGCCCTTCACCTCCCGCACCGCGCGCCGGTAGGTCTCGGGGTGCAGCGGCCGCACAACCTGCAGCTCCAACGCGCTCACGTCGCCAACCACCCAGGTATCCTCCACCATGAACTGCAAAATCTGTCGTGCCCTCACTTCCTGAAACTGCTGCGTCATGTACCGCACCAAGGCCGTCTTCACTCGCGCCCGAGCAGCGGCTTGTGCTGGCTTCTCTAGGCCTAACACGGAAATCGCCTCAATTAGCATGCTCACCACAAAAAATACGTGCAGCACCCTCTCCACGTCCACCGAGTCCAGCTGAAGCTTGTCCAGAACCAGGGAAATTTTCTCTACCAAATCCTGTCCGAGCTTATGGCTGACTTTCGCGATCTCCCGCAAGGCCGCGGCATGCAGTGTGGCGAAAGGGTGATCGGTGCCGCTACAATCGCTATGCAGCTTGCGTACAGTGGCAAACAGAAACAGAAAGTCCATCATTTTGGCGGACATTTGACACAGACAGAGCATCAAATGATCCGGGTGAATCGCCGCGGCAATATCTGCAATGGAGGCGTCCTCATTCTTGATGTCAGAGACTTCAATCAGAGACTTGGTGAGAATGTACACGGCAGACTGCCATAGCGTCTGCACGATGAGGCCGCAGACGTGGTCGGACGTACCCAGCACACGTGAGGCCTCAAAGGCGTTGCAGTATTTTGAGGGAATAAACTTTGCCGTCAGACACTCCATCAGTGAGTCTTCTTGGCACCGCTTCAGTGCCTCCTTGTTGTCACGGTACTCCTTCCACTCATCAATGATGCGGCTCAGGCAGTGCAGCTTCCTAATGCGATCCTCGTGCTCAACGTCGGAATGCTGCTGCAGCAGCTCCACGGCCTCAATAATGTTCCCACTCTCAAGAAGCGTCAGGAGCTCGTTGCGTTTCGAGCAGATTTGCCGCATCGCCTCAAGTAGGGCTAAGGTCGCCTTACAGTTGCCGCGCTTGCGGTGGTACGCCAGTATCTGCATTTGCTCCGCCGCCGCATTCTTCGCCTTGCGGATGATGTTGCGGCCCTTCTTGCAGTCGCTGGACGTCTCCAGGAGCCGGTCGTTGATGAGTCGAATCTCCTCCACCCCACTGACAAACTCCTTGCTGTGCGCAAGCACCCGCTTCTTCAGCGTGGCGCTCACAATGTCACACTTCCGCCGCAGCTCACGTATCGCTGCCTCCGTGGCCTGCCGCTGCCGCTGCTGCTGCGCGTCGTCGGCGGCGTAGCCGCTGCCGTCGACGACCTCCATGTGCGCAATCTCGTCCTTCATCGCCTCGTAGGACTTGTCAAAGTACTTCTTGTCGACGTACTCGTGCAGCTGCTGGTCGGTGAGGGGCTCGTCCTCCTCCGACTCAACGTCGCTCGTCTCCACCGCCGCGACACGCTCGCCGCGGCCGTTGTCTATTTGGGCGCCGTACCGCAGCTGGAAAAGGCGCCGCAGCGCCCCGGAGCGACTCACCACACCGTGCTTGCCTGGCACGCGCAGCCTGTCAACAGGGATGCTGCGCAAAACATTCTTGGTAAGCTTCAGGCCCCGCTTCGCCCCACGCATTGCCCCTTTCCAGGCATAATTGATCCCATCCCGCACCTCCTCCATCGCCGCTTCGACAGCTGAGGCGGCAAAGCAGAGGCAGAGGAAGCAAAGAAGAGGGAAACCGTGGAAAAGTAACCCAGCCGGAAAGAGAGGGAAGTGTGGCACCACAGTGTGCATGCTTGCGTGCGTGAGCGTGCATATGGGCAGGCACAGCAACAGACGTCAAGTGAAGCCTCAATCAGGCACCAACATCGCCTGTACACGGCGATCAGAACCCCTCCTCCCCCCCTCCCCACCAAGAGATTCAGAACACACACACACACAGACAGACAGACATACACGGCTATACCCAAAGGGGGTAAGAATAATATTTCTCTATGTAGGCTCGCGCAGACATGCATACATAGCAGGTCAAAACATATAGCTGTTGTATATATTAAAATTAAATATCACAACAAGAGCCAGACGCTATCCTGCGCTACTTCTCTACACACACACACACAAGTGCAGACAAGAAATCTCTGAAAAAAGTTAACATCAAGGAAGCGTCGTCAACTATCATGTTTGTACAGTAATCCACTTCGATTGACGTCTTGCTCATGCATTCGGCGGCCCACCTCCAGCTGCTCTTGTTGCTTATCAAAGCAAAGCTGCATCAGTTGCTGCGCGGAGCGCAGCTCCTCAATCTTTTCAAGGAGGTCCTTTTCCCGCAGACGTGTCTCGGCAAGGGTGACCTCGCCAATGTGCTTGAGCGATTCCAGATTCGCACAGCGTTCCTTCAAGGCCGAGTTCTCAGCCTTGCGTGCTTGCAGTTGGCTTGACAGTTCGGCCTCACGCTTCCGCGACTCCGCGAGTTCGTTCTCAAGAAGCGCAATTTTCTTCTCGTCCTTGGTTGTCTGACGCTCAAGGCGCCGCTTCTCCGCCTCTACCGCGTGGAGCGTCTTTGTCAGCTCCGCGACACGCTCCTCCAGTCGACTCTGCTGCGAGGCGGCGGCGTGGCTGCTCTGCTGCGCCCCCTGCCTGGCCACCGAAAGCTGCAGCTGCAGCGCTTGCAGCTGCCTTCGCAGTTCTTCTATTTGTCCATGCAGCGTCTCCTTGGCGGCGGAGAGGGCCGTCAGTCGACGGCTCTCCTGACGCGCCCGCTCGCGCTCGCCTGCCAGCGCATTCTCCTTCTCCTGCAGCACGTGCTGCAGCGCCGAGATCTCGCTGCGCAGCTCCCGCACCTCCACCTCGCTCTGGTTCTGCTCCATCGTGCGATCGTCCAGGCGGCGGCGGATGCGCTCCTGCTGCTGCTGCAGGGTTCGCTTCTCCTGGTCGAGCATCGTTCGCTCCGTCTCCGACCGCTGCTCAAACCCGCGGAGCTGCTCCCTCAAGGCCGTAATCTGATCCCCGCGGTGGGCAATCTCCAGCCGCGCCCCCTCCAGCTCCGTCCGCTCGCGCTGCAGCTGCTCCTCCTTGCGCTGGCACTCCCTCAGTGCCGCCTCCCGCTCGCGAGAGGCCTGCTCCGTGGCGCCGACCAGCTCCTGACGCAACTGCGCAACGTCGGCCCCGTGCTGCAGCTCCAGCTTCGCCACCTCCCCATTTCGCTCCTCCCGCAGCAGCCGCACCGCATCGGCGTGGGCCCGGCTCAATTCGTCCATCTCGCGCTCCATCCTTGCCTGCTGCTGCCGCAGCCCCTCGCCGCACTGCCGCTTAAACAACGCGGCTGTGTCCCACGCGTCATGCGCAAGCTTACTCAACTGATAGAAGGAGCGAGTTGTGACGGCAATGACAAAGTCACCAAACATTTCCTTCGTCATCATGGACTCCTCAGCCATGTTTGTGACAAGGCGACTGTATGAGGCGAGCAGCCTGCGCTGGCTATCCTTGGCATGCCACACTGCCTCTTCCTTGGCCTCCTCCACATCACGCAGCGCCTGTCGTGCCTGCGTCAATTCCTGAGTCAAGGCCTCCACGCGCTCCAGTGTCGTATTTAACTCCTCGGCAGCACTGGCAAGGGCAGCGGCGTGCTCCTCCTTCAACCGCCTTAGCCGCTGCTGCTGCGCCTCCTGCGTGTCACACAACTTCCTCGTTGCCTCCGCCAGCGCCTCTTCCTGTGACGAGAGCCGCATCTCCGCCGCGTGCTGCGCGGCACGAGCCACCTGCAGTTGCTCCTGCAGCCGCTCCACTTCAGTTTTGTAGGCCTCGACGCTCTTCTCGCGTGACGTCTTCGCCCTTGACAAAATCTGCTCCGCCGCGGCCTTTTGCTCCACGGCGACGTCAACCTCCTCGAGTGCCTTGCGGAGTGCCTCCTTCCGTAGGGCGTGCTTCTTTTCCTTCTGTGCCACCGTTTCCTCCAGCTCACCCGCGCGACTCTGCAAGGCACGCAGCTGCTCCGCCATTTCCTCGGCGTCCGCTGCCTGCTGCTGCTGCTGCGCGTCGCGTGCGTCGAGCTCCTTCTCCAGCGAGGCGATGCGGTTGTGGAGGAGGTCGGCGTCACGACGGCTCAGGTCCGCCTGGTGGCTGAGCCGCTCCTCGAGCACCGCCACCTTCGCCCGCTCCCCCGCGAGCAGCGCGACGTCCTGCTGCATCGAGCCAATGGTGGCGTCGCGCCGGGCCAGCTCCCGCTCCAACTCCTCGCAGCTGCGCTTGGCGAGTTGCTCCACTTCGTTCGCGTGTTGCGCGACGCGTGCGCACTCCATCGTCTTCTGCTGCAGCTCTGCGTCGCGGCGGTGAAGCTCGTCCGCGGCGTCTCGCCCCGCCTTTTGGGCGGCCTCGTACGCCGCACCCAACTTCTCCAACGACGCAATCTGCTGCTGCCGCTCCTGCCGCACAGCGGCCAACTCCCGCTCCAGCTGCTCGACGCGCCCCCGGGTCTCACGCAGCCGTGCGGCGGTGTCCACCGGCTCGCTTTTGGCGTTTTCCTCCTGCGCCTTCGCGAGTTCCCGCCGAAGCTGCTGAGCCTCACTGCGACTTGCCGCGAGCTGCTCCTTTGCCTCCCCGAGGGCCGAGGCGGTGGACTCATGCCGCTTGGCGTCCGCCGCGCGGTCACCCTCCACCGTCTCCAGCGACTTCCGCAGCCGCGCCTCAGTCGCCGCGGCGACTTCGACCAACTGCTGCTGCTTTGCCAGCGCCTCCCGCAGAGTCGCGCACTCGCGCCTCGCATCCTCCAAAGCCCTGGCGGACTCACGAGCATCGCAGGCACGTTTCTCACTTTCCTCACGGATGCATCGCACAGCCTCATTTGCGGCCTGCAACTCGCGTTGGTTCGCTTTGTTAGTGGCAACTTCCTCCGCCAGCTGCGCCGTCGCAGCGTTGAGGCGCTGGCGCAGCTCACTAATCTCACTCTCCAACACCCGCCTGCACTCCGCCAGCTCCGTCTTATGGGCCCATGCAACTTCCTGCAAACGCTTTTCTTGCGTCGCAGCCAACGCGTGCTGCTGATGCTCCCTTTCCCTCTGCTGTTCTTTCATCCTTTCGATGGCGATGCTGGCATCCTCGTTACGTGTTACGAGGACTCGTTTTTCCTCCATGAAGCGCTCCTTTAGAGTACCCAGCTGATGCTGCACGTCCTTTAGCTCAAAACTCAGGCGATCCCGATCCTCTCGGAGCCGGTCCCGTTCCACTGCCGTGAGTGTCGCCTTCTCCCTGAGCTCGACGGTGCAGCGCAGGCACTCCTCCTTCGCTGAGGCTAGAGCGGCATGAAGCTCCTTCAGCTCCGCTGTGCCCCTCTCTGAGCTTCGCTGCTTTCGCTCCATCTCCTGCTGCTGCTCCGCCACTTTGCTCTGCAGCCCGGTCAACTGCAAAGACACCTTTGCCCGTTCTTCATTGCACCGTTTCCGTTCCTCCTCAAGCACTTCCGAAAGATCTACGAGTCGTGCTTCCAACAACTGTGTCTTGGCTTGCTCGCGCTGCAGCTGCTCCGTCGCGGCGGTGAGCTTCGCCGTGACCTGCTCGGCCGCCGTGCGGGCCGCCTCCGCTTCCCGCTGATGGCTTACAACCAAATTCTTTCCCGACTCCCGCTCCGCGGCAAGAAGTTGACGAGCACGCTTCTTCTCCTGGCAAGCCTCCGCCAGCCGCTTCTCCAACCGCACCTGCGTCGCCTTTAACTCGTCAAGTTCACCCTGCCGCCCATCCGAGACCCGCTTCGCCTCCGACAGCTGCGCGTTCAAGCCCTCTACCGCCGCCGCCGCCGCCGCCTTCTGGGAACGCATGGACTCCTCACACTTTGCCAAGGCGTCTGCATGCCTTTGCGCCGGGACCATGGATTCCATCTCCCGACGCACGTCGGCGAGCTCCTTCTTCAGCCCTTCATGGGCTGCCTCCCTTGCATCCAGCTGCTGCGCCCTCGCCGCGCATGCGTCCATCGCCCTCTGCGCGGCCTCCGCCTGCTGCTGCGCGTGGGTCTGCTCCGACCTTAGCGCGTCGCGCTCGGATTGAAGCGACCGAACTTCCGCGAGTTGCTGGCGCCGCGCCTCCTCCATCTCGCGCCCGTGCCTCTCCCTGCTCAGCTCCAACAGGTTCGTCGCCTCAGTTAGTTCCTGCTGCACCGCCTCTGCCTGCACCTTCATGGCGTCGTTGCGCCGCACCAGCTGGTCGACTTGCTCTTCACTCGCCCGCAGCTTCTGCGACATCCTCCGCAGCTGCCGCCGCGCCCTCTCCAGCTGCTGCTGCGCACCCGCCACATCCACCTTGTACGTGTCCTCCTTCTTCCGCAGCTCACACCGGCGCTCCTCGAGGCCGCGGATGAGCCCGTGGATCTCCTCGTCCTTGGCGTTGATGACACGCAGGTACTCCTCCAGGAGCTGGTCAACGTGAGCCATCGCCTCGCCCTCGCCCCCTCTCGGCTCTCCGCATTACGTGCCCACGCGTGTGCGTGTGTGGGGCAGTCCACGCATATCGCAGCGGGACACCCCCACAAGAGAAGAGAGAGAAAAAAGAAACGAAACAGAGAGCGGCGATGGAACTTTTTTAAGCAAACGAAGAGAACGACGTAACGGCCGACAAAAACGAGGGAGTCGGTGACCCCGCACCCCACCCCCCCGGCAACAGCAGTTGCCGCTACCGGTCGCCAAAGCGTGTGGCGGGGCGAGAAGAGGCAGAAAAACATTAAAAAGATCCAAACCCCACGGAAATGTGCAAGAAAGAAAAAGCCCTACCACACACACCCACATAGAGATAGAGAGAAGGAGAGAAGGAGAGAACACACACAAAAATTACTTGCATTCCGAAACTTGGTGACGCGT